CGCTGCTCTGGCACCCCAATGGTGGAACAAGCTCCCTCACGACGCCAGGACAGCGGAGTCACTCACCACCTTCCGGAGACATTTGAAACCCCACCTCTTTAAGGAATACCTGGGATAGGATAAAGTAATCCTTCTACCCCCCCCCCCCCCCCCCCCCCAAAAAAAACAAACAATTGTAAAGTGGTTATGCCACTGGCTATAAGGTGAATGCACCAATTTGTAAGTCGCTCTGGATAAGAGCGTCTGCTAAATGACGTAAATGTAATGTAATGTTATCACTGCGCTTTCAACCATTTAAAAGCACAACAAAGTTCAAAAGGGAATACAATGTCAGATATTTTGTTTATTTATTCAACAACGTAAATGTGTTATCATCACTGTACTTAATCTAAAAGCACAACCAAATGACCTGGATTGCAGTTGAGATTACATGAAAAGTATACACATGGTGCAAGTGATCAATGATCGAGATTCTGCACAGATTATTTTTGCAGTTGTCTCCACAGACCTGCAACCTTAGCATGCTATCTTGAACATGCACTCTTTCTATGATTACATAAGAAGATATTTATAGTTACAGTAACCTCAAATTGTGGCCATGGATGTGTTGCTCATTTTAAGGTTGAAAAAATACTGTTACATTCCTTTGTAAAACAGCCTTAACTTTAGGCTATTTACTGTAAGGGATAGTGGGGTAAATTGAGCCAAAGGTTAGTTGAGCCACCCCTTATTTATAGGAAACCATACAGAAAATGAATCATGAGACCAAATATTTTGGAAGAGGTTATAATTAATGGAGTGTGTGAAGGAAGAAACCACATGGAAAAGGTGGTAAGCAAGTTAGGTCCTAAAAATGGATTTTCACAAAGTCAAATAATATAATATAAAAATAATATGCCATTTAGCAGACGCTTTTATCCAAAGCGACTTACAGTCGTGCGTGCATACATTTTTGTGTATGGGTGGTCCCGGGGATCGAACCCACTACCTTGGCGTTACAAGCGCCGTGCTCTACCAGCTGAGCTACAGAGGACCAAATGAATGTATTGTGTTATAGGTTTCATGATGCTTGTATCTAAACCAAAGTAGATATTTCATATATCAGTTGTGGTGTCTATAAGCTACAATAGCATGAAAGTACATCCTTGTAGCTGAGTGGGCTAATATAGTCAAAATGTTTGCCTTGTGGTAAATTGAGCCAACGCCCATGGGGTAAGTTGAGCCAATGGCCACCATACCCCATACAAATTATTACATTTTGTCAGTTTCATGCATAATATGCATAGTATTTTTGCAAGATTTGTATTGTTACAGAGCAGATATCATCATGCCTGTGTATACAAAGTAAAACAAGCAGGAGTCTAGCCACCCTTGAGGTTCTTGAGAGCAGCCAAGGAAGTGAGAGAAGGGAAGAAGTCCATTTGAGCAGCAGCAAGGGATGAAAAAGTAGACTGAATGACACTGAAGAGGTACATTGACAATAAAGAAAATGAACATGTACCTGTGCGAAAGAGAGGTTATGATAAAGATAGAGTAGCAGAGGCACACAAGGTCTTATCTGATGACATGGAGTCTGAGCTTGCTAAACATATCAATGACCAGTTTCATGGGCTTAGTAGCCTCAAATGCAGAGAACTTGCCTATGAATTGTTTGCCTGACAACTCAAACTGAATTCTTCCGCTGCTATATGTTCGCTACATACTTTAGTCTGAGACTGTCATCGTAGAAGTTGTTTGTAGTGACGTCAAAATAAGGGGTGTTGTACAAAACAAAGTCATCAGCGATCGGATCATCTTAAACCAATCAGCGTATCAAAGCCAATGACACATTTTCAAAACATCGCTTTACCCACTTGTGTCCTGCTCTGGCCCAACCCATCGGTTTCTGGGACCAATCAGAACGGTTAGTGTTAGCGTTCTAGAAATGTTTTGTTGTTACATTTAACTGCCGAAAATGCTGTTTTCAAGGTAATTTCCTTAGTAGGTGACGTCAGAGGTCAGCATGTGGGAGAAGTCGGAGCACAGGGATGATAACAGTTTCCCACTAGTAATTACGAGTTGGAGGGGTGTTCAAGTGGATTTTTCCCAGTCGTATGTGGTAAATACCACTTTCAACTTGGTTATGAACGCAGCATAATAAAGGGGAAACTAATCTCATCATGTTCTGCAGGCCACACCATTGTGTAACATTCAGAAAAATGTTGTGTATGTAGCCCGCTCTAACAGCCTAAATGTTATATTTCCAGGGATACACAATATCCTGAAATATATGTAGATATCTTTGTTAAAGAATACTAGATTTCACTTGACGTAGTGATGCTGAATGTAAAAAATGTCTCAACATACCCAACTCCCCCCTATTACAAAAGTAATATTGAATTGTGTTTGGTTGATAAAGCAACCAAATATCAACATTTAAAGGAGATGTATCTACTGCTTGGATAGTTCCATCTGAGCCACTGATTTAATGCTGTTTAATGTAATTCTTTAACTTAAATTTTTGTTTGAGTTGGAGACTTCCAACATATAATTTGTTAACTGGTCGACAAGTTAATACGCTATTTACTGTATTGCAAAAGTTATATTGAATTGTGTTTGTTGTCAACGCAACCAAATATCAACATTTGAAGGAGATTAACTTCTTCTTGGATAGTTCCATCTGTACCACTGACTTAGTCTGGGTTTAATTCCAGTTTGTCTACAAATTAATAATTTATATGTTGGATTTACATCTCCATCTCAACCAAAAAGGAAAGTAAAAGAATAGGACTAAATTAAATCAGATCAAACTTTAAATGCACTTTAAATAAAGTTTGATATAAGGCCAATTCTTTATCTTAGATTTTTGGTTTAGATGGAGACGTGAATCCAATTAATTATTAACCTGTAGATTACATTTGAAATCAACCAAAGCTTGAAACCCTAGGCCTATATGTATTGTCTATTTTTATTTGAATCCTGAGTTGAATTGAAACAATAGCTGGTTACATTCCATTTGCTCTGTTCAACCTACCCTTTCGAATGACTTCAATAGCAACAGTGAATCTGTTTAGTTTTTAAGTGGAGATCTCTCAAATCATTTGTGCGATAGCACATTGGTAATAGTCAGACAGTGGCATATACTGTATCAAAGCTAAGCAGGGCTTAGTTAAAACCCTGGATGGGAGACCAAAGGGATTGCTGTAGATCAGGTGTGTCAAACTCATTCCACAGCCGAGTGTCGGCAGGTTTTTGGTTTTTCCTTTCAATTAAGACCTAGACAACCAGGTGAGGGGAGTTCCTTACTAATTAGTGACCTTAATTCATCAATCAAGTACAAGGGTGGAGCAAAAACCCGCAGACACTCAGCCCTCCGTGAAATGAGTTTGACACGTGCTGTACATAGATAAAATCTCCAGTTGGAGGTGTTGCCCAGCCTATAGTTTTTTTTAAAAATAGTGGATATAATGTCGAAGATCTGACGTTGTTTCAAATTCAACATATTTTATACCAGGTTTGTCTATGTTGAAAATTGGTAACCATGATGACATAATCCTGTGGTTGACATTTCACCCGCAAAACAACATTGAAACATTGATTCAACCAGTTTGTGCCCAGTGGATAGTCTGTGCCTCAAAAGTCAGGCGTGCTGGAAGGTATGACTTTGCTGGTGAATAGCGGTTTGGGTCACTCATGATTTTAGTTTTACCATGGTACGTCATGTCATTGTGTGCCTATAGAGGGTCATGATAACGCCTGTTACTTGAATACAGAGTTCAACCTTCAACAACAAATCGGGTCAAAGAATAGATGGACTCCAGTACACTCAAGAGAACTCAGCTAAACCAATTTGGTCAAACAAACAGAATGGCCATGCAAATGTCTCCCTCTTCTGGTAAAACAATACATGTTGTACTGTATTTTGGCCCTTTTTAATCTACCTTCATGGGTTGTGTACAGTGAACAGATTTCATACGTTTTAGGATTCCACCTTACATTGAGTGGAACTATGGAAGAGATGGTTTGAGCATTCTGCATCTTTATTTTGCTATAATCCCTTCGAAGATACATTCTCTTTTCAAAACATGACCAGTGCTTATAGAAAAGGGTTAAATTACAGCTTTGAACCTGTAATTCTCAACAATGCAACATAACCATGAGTGCATGTAGTAGTATTAGTAACACCACACATCAAACAGAAATTAAACAATCTAGATCACGTATGAAGTAGTCATAATCCAGTCACTGACTTCATGCACACCACCATTTAATTTAAAACAGAGGGGAGTTTGAGAGATACAGCTACATGACAGCTATTTGCACAGGCTTAGCAATCACATCCAGTTCAGACACACAACATATGCTCATACAGCACAAAAATAGTCCTTTTGAGAAAGCACAGATGGACAATAAAGCTAGTATTCACAGTGCTAGTGAAGGGATATCCATGTATGAATGGTCTATTCTGAATCGCAACAGAACACCCCTACTGTATATGGACAATCTAAATAATCATTACCAAAGATCTCCAATATATTGTTGCTAAATTAGCATGTTTAGCTAATAATTTAAGTATTTCCACTTAACATAACTACAAAATCATGGTTTCTAGTTGAGTACAGATTTCCTATTTACAAATGCAGCGACTATATTAGCCACATATGGATTTAACACACTGTTTAGCCTTTTCCCAAAGGTGGAGAGGAAGGAGAATGCGATACACAGTGAACTCAGACGATATTCATAAAAAAAAAGTAAACTGTACATTCACATGCATACAGAACAATCAGAGTAATGTGAATATGAAGGAAGTACCATGTATTAAAGGAAAAATCCACTCAAACTATATTTTGGTATTTTTTTCCATTAGTCCACTGTACATTCCCAAAATGTTTTGCATGTCAGCAGTTAAGTTTTCAAGATGTAGGACTTTCAAAAAGCAAATTGTCACCTGCCACATCATCATGATGATGATGCAAAACACACTTTGGGACCGTATCATGTGGACTACTTTAAAAAAAAAAAAAAAGATCCACTCAAACTACAATTCCGACCTTCAAATTCGATTCACATTGCAGCAGCCAAACCCCCGCCCCTATCATGTAAGGTTTTAAGCTATAGTTAAACAATGTATCCCCTCAAATGGTTAACCTGTCTATTGTAATTTATGTAGGAGAGTGCAACTATCAGAATAATCGTTTTCGCAGGATGAAGGTTATTTTGCTACAATGAAAATGGTTTCTATGTTACATTAAATACAGGAAGTAAAATCCTGTAGATTCATCCCTGTACCTTCACCAACAATCATATCCTACAGGTATCAAAAATAACTACAACTACAGAGCGCTACTACACATTTGTCCGTTTCAGCACTAGGCATTGACTAAGGTTCCATGCTAATCAAAGGCACTCATCTCTTAGCAATACACTGTAGTTGGACACATTGCTTTTCCTTATCCAACTTATTAGCATTTTCTATAATAGTTCAGTCCTTAAATCATTGGAGTACCACTGAATTCTCGATCTTTCTACAAAGATTATTCAAAAATGGGTGAAAGGAGTTTGAAGGAGACTGGCGGGCTTTGTATATTGCATTATTGTCGTCCCAGATTGTGTTGTCCTTTCGTCTGTGTTAGTTGGGTCTTCAAGGCTTATGGTCATCTTGTCCATTAGTCTTTGATCATCCGTGTGTGTGCATGCACATATGGGAGTGAGTGTGTGTAAATATCTATGTGCCTGTGCATATATGTGTGTTTCTCAGTGTTTGTCAGGAGAGTTCCATGCTGGCAGTTTGTCCACCAGGTCTTGGTGGTCCACCTTGACGCTGGCCAGCAGACCCCCTGTGTTGCCCGCGGCCCCCGAGTAGTCTATCTCCTCACCCTTCAGTGTGGTCATGTGACCTCCCAGGGCCGTGAGCAGAGCATTGCCGGCGCAGATGTCCCACTTCTTGATGAAGGTGACGTGGATGTACATGTCAGCCTTCTCAATGTCCTCATCAAGGGGATCCAGCAGAGCCAGCACCTTATAGCCTGGGATTAGTGGAAAATACAACATCAATAACTGCAAACCATAGTAACAAGGAGCTGTATACATACCTGAAGTAATGTTATTCCAAAATTACAGTACACTTGAAACCAATGTTCCCTCAAATGTTTTGGGGCACTGAGCAAATTTAAGGTCTTGTGAGAGGAATTTTGTGCAACTTCCGGCGCGCTTTACAGTGAACACCGAGGCTGTACCCTTACAGTTTTAGACAGTAGCCAATAGGCCATTGTGGCTACTTGAGCATAATGTAACATTTTCACATGGAAATAGCTTTTAAATGTATATGATATAACCACCCCTATATCTGGTGTTCAATGCAGGCCTACATTGCATGAGACTTAAAACCGTGGCCTACCCCCGCCAATAGAATTCTACTCCATCGCGCTCTGACTCTGCCTATAACAAAATCACAGATTCAATCCTGCGAAGTTAGATTTGTTTTGGTTTGTTGCATTGAAAAGGGGCTGATTTAATGCTGATTCAATCACAGAAAAATTGTAGATCTATATAGTGCAAACTAATGGGGCGAACTCAGTGAAGTTTAATATCTTGCGTCTCTGCGCGGCCTGGCATTTCTTCTGCGTGGCAGTCCTGGAGGAGGTGCACGGCCGCACACGTGCACAACTTAGAGGGAACATTGCTTGAAATTAACATCCGCAGAAATAGGTATGCCTCTCAAAATGGTAAGTAATGACTAATCATAGGTTGCATTCAATCATAGGCGATAGACTACTACCATTTTAAGAAATGTTGGTGAACGCTTTACACACAGTGCCGTACCTGCACCCCCTGCTGGGAGAATAACTGTAGTGTTGCCGAAGGCCTCCTCGATGAAACCCTTCACCTTCCCGGCGTGCGACCGGGACACGATGACATTGGGGGGGTTCATGTTGTAGGTGGTGCGAGGCTTCATGTTAGACCCGTGACCAACCAAGGCCCAAGCTGTGGACAGGAACATATGCTTTAAATAGCTGGAGATGGTGTAGAACTAAAAGTCCAACAGGACTGGTTATAGATCAGTTATGTAATATAGAATGCATGTGGGTAGAGGCTAGGCCATGACTGTTATGTCGGCTGGGACAATAAAGATTAATTGAAATAATTTTATTTGGGCCTGGACTGGACACCGCAAGTCAACACAAGCCCACACTCTCCTGACAGTGGGTTCACACATCCACCGTCTCGCCATTCAATGAACACAATGCAGCCATTCACAATCACCAATGAAGCCACCTTATTGTGAGCTCCCCTCCTGGGTGATTTCTCAAAGGAGTGACAGTCCACTGACTGGTATATCATACAGTTGAACAGTGTTGCTCTGTCCTGAGCCCCAATTATGGTCTCTCACTCTTTTCTCCAAAGCTTGCACCCGTTCACTCCCCTAACAGATTTAAAAGCATTAGATTGGTGTAGAAAATATGGTGAGCATTTCGTCTACTCGACAATCCATGCTTTAAACCATTGAGGGGGGAGTGTCACCTTGTATACAATCTGTGACAGTGAAAAACACACCTGTGTATCCTGTGAAAGGTTTGTGGATCACGCCTATGACAGGTTTCCCGTCGACGGCCACGCACACCATGGTCGTGACATACTTGAGCAGGTTCTCTGTCAATTGGAGAAAGAGAAAACAATGGGCTCAACGAAACAGGATACAGCTTAGGAAACAGGACACTGCTAAGAAAACTACTATGTAGCTGAGTATAGGTAACCACCCCACAGTCTCATTTCAATCACCCACACAAAGAGCAGTGGAGCTCACACTTAAGCTGGGTCTAAATAGTCTGGTCTTCTTTTCATCTTGTCCTACAGTATATCTTATCTGTCCTATAGTACAGTGCCTTCAGAAAGTACTTGACCCCTTGACTTTTTCCACATTTTGTAGTGTTACAAAGTGGGATTCAAATGGATTTGTCATTTTCTGTCAACGATCTACACAAAATACGCTGTAATGTCAAAGTGGAAGAATATATATCTTTTTTTTAATGGAAAATAAAAAACGAATATATCTTGATTAGATATGTATTCAACCCCCCAAGTCAATACATGTCAGAATCACCTTTGGCAGTGATTATAGCAGTGAGTCTTTCATGGGTAAATCTAAGAGCGTTGCACACCTGGATTGTGCAATATTTGCCAATTATTTTTTACATTTGTCAAGCTCTGTCAAGTTGGTTGTTGATCATTGCTAGACAGCCATTTAAGTCTTGCCATAGATTTTAATTTACGTCATTTAGCAGACGCTCTTATCCAGAGCGACTTACAAATTGGTGCATTCACCTTATAGCCAGTGGGATAACCACTTTACAATATGTTTTTTTTTTTCTCTTTGGGGTGGGGTAAGGGGGGGTAGAAGGATTACTTTATCCTATCCCAGGTATTCCTTAAAGAGGTGAGGTTTCAAGTGTCTCCGGAAGGTGATGAGTGACTCAAGCCAATTTAAGTCAAAACTGTAACTAAGCCACTCAAGAACATTCAATGTTGTTTTGGTAAGAAACTCCAGTGTATATTAGGCCTTGTGTTTTAGGTTATTATCCTGCTGAAAGGTGAATTTGTCTCTCAGTGTCTGTTGGAAAGCAGACAGAACCAGGTTTTCAAAGACCTTGCCTGTGCTTAGCGCTATTCCATTAATTTTAATCCTAAAAAACTCCATAGTCCTTGCAGATGACAAGCACACCCATAACATGATGCAGCCACCACCATGCTTGAAAATATGAAGAGTGGTACTCAGTGATGTGTTGTGTTGGATTTGCCCCAAACATTTTTACAGTATTACTTTATTTCAAACAGGATGTATGTTTTGGAATATTTTTATTCTGTACCGGCTTCCTTCTTTTCACTCTGTCATTTATGTTAGTATTGTGTATTTATGTTAGTGTTGTTGATCCATCCTCAGTTTTCTCCTATCCCAGCCATTAAACTCTAACTGTTTTAAAGTCACTATTGGCCTCATGGTGAAATCCATGAGGGGTTTCCGTCCTCTCCGGCAACTGAGTTAGGAAGGGTGCCTTTATCTTTGTAGTAACTCGGTGTATTGATACACCATCCGAAGTGTAAAATGTATAACTGCACCATGCTCAAAGGGATATTCAATGTCTGCTTTTATTTTTTTTAACCATCTACCAACAGGTGCCCTTCTTTGCTAACCATAGGAAAACCTCCCTGGACTTTGTGGTTGAACCTGTGCTTGAAATTCACTGCTTGACTGAAGGACCTTACAGATAATTGTATGTGTGGGGTACAGAGATGGGGTAGTCATTTAAAAATCATGGTAAACACTATTATTGCACAGAGTGAGTCCATGCAACTTGTGAAGCACATTTATACTCCTGAACTTATTTAGGCTTGCCATAACAAAAGGGTTGAATACTTACAGTGAGGGAAAAAAGTATTTGATCCCCTGCTGATTTTTTACGTTTGCCCACTGACAAAGAAATGATCAATCTATAATTTTAATGGTAGGTTTATTTGAACAGTGAGAGACAGAATAACAACAACAACAAAAAAATCAGGGAAAACGCATGTCAAAAATGTTATAAATTGATTTGCATTTTAATGAGGGAAATAAGTATTTGACCCCTCTGCAAAACATGACTTAGTACTTGGTGGCAAAACCCTTGTTGGCAATCACAGAGGTCAGACGTTTCTTGTAGTTATAATAATAATAATAATAATAATAATAATAATAATAATAAGCCATTTAGCAGACGCTTTTATCCAAAGCGACTTACAGTCATGTGTGCATACATTTTTACGTATGGGTGGTCCCGGGGATCGAACCCACTACCCTGGCATTACAAGCGCCATGCTCTACCAATTGAGCTACAGAGGACCACCAGGTTTGCACACATCTCAGGAGGGATTATGTCCTACTCCTATTTGCAGATCTTCTCCAAGTCATTAAGGTTTCGAGGCTGACATTTGGCAACTCGAACCTTCAGCTCCCTCCACAGATTTTCTATGGGATTAAGGTCTGGAGACTGGCTAGGCCACTCCAAGACCTTAATGTGCTTCTTCTTGAGCCACTCCTTTGTTGCCTTGGCCGTGTGTTTTGGGTCATTGTCATGCTGGAATACCCATCTACGACCCATTTTCAATGCCCTGGCTGAGGGAAGGAGGTTCTCACCCAAGATTTGACGGTACATGGCCCCGTCCATCGTCCCTTTGATGCGGTGAAGTTGTCCTGTCCCCTTAGCAGAAAAACACCCCCAAAGCATAATGTTTCCACCTCCATGTTTGACGGTGGGGATGGTGTTCTTGGGGTCATAGGCAGCATTCCTCCTCCTAACACAGTGAGTTGAGTTGACGCCAAAGAGCTCAATTTTGGTCTCATCTGACCACAACACTTTCACCCAGTTCTCCTATGAATCATTCAGATGTTCATTTGCAAACTTCAGACGGGCATGTATATGTGCTTTCTTGAGCAAGGGGACCTTGCGGGCGCTGCAGGATTTCAGTCCTTCACGGCGTAGTGTGTTACCAATTGTTTTCTTGGTGACTATGGTCCCAGCTGCCTTGAGATCATTGACAAGATCCTCCCGTGTAGTTCTGGGCTGATTCCTCACCGTTCTCATGATCATTGCAACTTCACGAGGTGAGATCTTGCATGGAGCCCCAGGCCGAGGGAGATTGACAGTTATTTTGTGTTTCTTCCATTTGCGAATAATCGCACCAACTGTTGTCACCTTCTCACCAAGCTGCTTGGCGATGGTCTTGTAGCCCATTCCAGCCTTGTGTAGGTCTACAATCTTGTCCCTGACATCCTTGGAGAGCTCTTTGGTCTTGGCCATGGTGGAGAGTTTGGAATCTGATTGATTGATTGCTTCTGTGGACAGGTGTCTTTTATACAGTTAACAAGCTGAGATTAGGAGCACTCCTTTTAAGAGTGTGCTCCTAATCTCAGCTCGTTACCTGTATAAAAGACACCTGGGAGCCAGAAATCTTTCTGATTGAGAGGGGGTCAAATACTTATTTCCCTCATTAAAATGAAATGCATTTTTCTGGATTATTTTGTTGTTATTCTGTCTCTCACTGTTCAAATAAACCTACCATTAAAATTATAGACTGATAATTTCTTTGTCAGTTGGCAAACGTACAAAATCAGCAGGGGATCAAATACATTTTTCCCTCACTGTATTGACTCAAGACATTTCAGCTTTTCATCTTTTATTAATTTGTAAACATTTCTAAAAACATTATTTCACTTTGACGTTATGGGGTATTGTGTGTAGATCAGTGACACAAAATCTCAAATTAATCCATTTTAAATTCAGGCTGTACAACAAAATGTGGAAAAAGTCAAGGCACTATTTCTTTTCTTGACAATCACTAACATTGACATGGTATAACGGGACTGGTGAAAGTAAACCCATCTGTTGGCCTCCTGTTGCTTTGGAACATCTAGAGTAGGGCTCCATTTTGACATGGCATCTAGAGGGAAAGCTTAGTATAAGTCTGAACATTAATATAGATAATCGAATCCTTGAGAAGGTTCTGCATTGGCCAAACCAGTGTATACATGTGTGGTTTCAGCGCAGGTTTAGGTGTTTGGCCGACTAAAGAAAAAGGACTAGGGTGGACCATCTAAGGCTAGGTTGAGGAGTGATATTTCCACTATGGTGCATCTGTAACAATGCAGGAATGATGGTTGAAGACAAGGTTTCAAGTTCTGGTTATTTATTCACTAACTAAAAGGGACAGCACAAGGACACAGGATGAAGATTTGATGGCTTGTAATGCCAGTAGGTAAGTTTGTGATACAAGTTATGATAGGAGGTTGTGAAGGGAGGTTGTTCTAGGATGTTGTGGTTTTTAGTCAGGTCACGTACAACAAAGGAAAAGGAATAAGGACTTGGGCCGCCCCATGCCACCAAACAATGAGGTAAAACAAGCTGCTTATATAGGTGAGGAAGGGTGTGGAATCTTGATTATCAGAGCGAGTTCAGGTGTGGTGAGTTGGCAGGAGAGGGGGGCGTGTCCAGAGGGTAATTAGGGAATTGGTGAGGTGGCATGATCCTTCAGAACACTGACCATAGTGGGTTGCTACATGATACCATACCTGTATACTCCTGAGTGGCATCCAGGGGGTCTATCCAGATGGTGATGCTGTCAGCGGGCACCTCCCTGCCCACCTCCACGATTTTTAGGATGTCAGCAGGGATGTCTCTGTTCCACACCCCCAGCTCATTGTCGGTCTCATCATGCTCTTCAGAGTTCACCTGCAAAGGGACAGAACACATTTTTAAACATCAGCGTGTAAAACACATGTTATGAATACCATGAAGATTAAGGCTGTTCTGTTGAACACATGGTTATGTTAGTAATGATGCCAACATAAAAGAGACCAATGCCTATTACAGTGATTGACACTACAATACAGGGCCAAATAAGGGTGTGCATTTGATTACATTGCAAACTCTCTGGGGCATAGGCTAGCAGTATACCATAATCTCATGCCATTTACTTACCGGTAGACAATGGAACTACAATAAGTCATGGTATGTGTTAGTAATACAGCTTTCAAACCAAGATGTTTTCCCGCCAACTTTAGCATCCTGCCAACTCTTTGACGACTTTTCTTTATACATGAAAGGTATTGTCGGCAACAAAGCCTCTAATTTTATTTCCGTCAAACGACCTAATCATGATTGCGGTAAAGTTCTGCCTAAGGCTTAGTATGAAATGTAGCCTTAATGCTAAGGTGGCATTGGCACGCACCACGCTCTTAAGCTCTTGATGGTTGCTAGGCAGCGCCCCTTACTACAATCCTCCTGCCAGTTCTAAACTTTACGAGGCATGTCACTTCACCCATCTCTTCACATAGACCACCACATGCACTGTTTTCTTAACCACAACTGGATGTATCCATAAAGAATTACTGTGGGAATAAATATCACTGAATGATGAACATATTGGAATAAAGTAGGCTAATACCATTGAAGGTATCAAATTGTTGCTTACTGAGCCTCCCAAAGTCATCCAATTGTTATAATACATTTGAAGCAATAGGACAACTATTTCAACACCGTTTCGCGCTGCTTTGAGACAAGCGTGGGGACTTGTCTTGATAAATCAATCAATGTCAGACTTATTTTCACTGAATCTCCGTTTGGATATTGGTTAGGCTACAATTAGGCTGTAGAAAAGTTAGCTGTAGAACAAAGTTGGGACAGAGAGACTGAAAAATTGCTTCTATCTCAAGGTCATCAGACTGTTAAATAGCCATCACTAGCCGGCCTCCACCCAGTTCCCGGCCCTGAACTTAGTCAATGTCACTAGCCGGCTACCACCCAGTTACTCAACCCATCACCTTAGAGGCTGCTGCCCTATAGACATGGAACACTGGTCACTTATGTTTACATACGGTTTTACCCATTTCATATGTATATACTGTATTCTAGTCAAGGCCTATCCTATTCAGCTATTGCTGTACATATACTATTCTACGTATTCTTCCGATATACTACATATTCTATCCACATACTGTCCATAATGTGTATACATCCCGTCACAAATATATTTATACTCCGGAATCAGACATTGCTCATCTTAATATTTCTATATTTCTTAATTCCATTATTTTACTTTTAGATGCGTGCGTATTGTTAGATATTACTGCACTGTTGGAGCTAGGAAAACAAGCGTTTCACTACACCCGCAATAACAACTGCTAAATTTATGTATGGACCAATAACATTTTATTTGATTTAGCATATAGGCTGCACAGACCAGTACATAATTAAACTAAAAATATGCCATACTATTATTTAACAAATTAATTGTATTATTCTTATGTTCCTTAGGACTTGTCTAAAAAAAAAAAATAAGAATGGAGAACTTTGTGGTGGTGTATATTCAATGGATCTATTCAAATCGGCCCAAGTCTACTCCGCTCCTAAACATGCAAGGGAGATATAAAAGGCTTATCCCGGCAAGAAATTTGGTCTGTATGAATTGGGCACTAAAAAACATTGGTAGATGTTTTCTTTTTTTACAGGTAAAGTCTGTCTGTAAAGGTTATAAATAAACAACAATGTGGTACACAGCTAAGTGTGAGCCTGATGACGTGGATGTCGATTAAGGCAGCCCCCCGGCACCTCTCTGGGTTGGGTTAAATGGGGAAGACACATTTCAACTACTCATGTCTTGATAACATAAATATCATTTCCTCTTTACCTGTACATATGGATAAGTATTCTTGATAAGATAATACATCTTTCTGTGCGAGTTTAAGTCCCCCTGAGTGAGCTTTTCACTCGCCCCTTCCTTCGTTTTCCCCTTGGTCTTCTCTTCTAACGTGTTCTCTTCTCTGACCCTCTTCACCTCCCGACCGCCCTGGACAGCAGCCTCCACTGACAGTGCGAGCAGGTCGCGGAGGTTCACTGTTCTCTTCGACGTGAAAGCAGCTATGCGGCTGGATATAACTCCGGCATATAGGTGGTAGATCACGCCAAGTCCCAATAAGCAAAACACGGCCACTCCAAGTGGCGATAGACGGATTCCCATTGGAGCCATCGGTTTAGTTAATCAGCTAGCTAGCTAATTGTCACACACAACCACCGTCGGTGTTCGTAAATGCAAGACAATGATAATGCTTGCTACCTAGTTTTCATTTCAAAAGTTATTTACATTTCTAGCTTATGCAGTTGGTCAATGTACCAGTTTTTTTATGGGTTACCTAGTTAGCTTGCTAGCGACATTGGTTAGCTAGTTAACGCGTTAGCTGGAGAGCTATCATTGGCTGTCAAGCGAATGTCGAAAACTCGACTTCTAAAGATAATATCAGCTTTCCCATATAGTTTATTAAATAATATACCACCGGTCGGTGCTTAATTCTTTAAAATCCTTGCACGACTAACGTCAGAAGAGAAAACGACCAGAATATGAGTTATTTTTTTGCTCCACGTACACGGTGGGCGGGGTCAGATCTCAAAGTACCTGATTGTTTGTTTTCCGGGTCACGCATACCACGTGGCCTGTTCAATTTACAGTTACATAAAATGTTTGCGATTATTTTACATTTTGGCCATTTAGCAGACGCTTTTATCAAGAGCGACTTTACAGTCGTTGCATTTAATTGAGGTAGGTATGACAACCACATATCACAGTCATTGCAAGTAAATACTTCCTTCCCCCCAAAAAATAGAAGCGCTTTCAGCGAAATCAGTGCTAGTAAAAGACGAGTGTTAGTGCAATAAATACTTTTTTTAACGAAATCATTCCCTATTTCAACATACAGAAAAAACATACTTCATATATGTTGTTAATTCCGAATGATCATATAAATTGTTGCATTTTATTTAACTGTGCTTACCAACCACTAGATGTCAGCAAATACCACCAGCCCTGGTCTACTCCACATATCATGAAACTTGGAAATTTCCGACTTGCATATGCGTAAATATTACATTTACATAAGTATTCAGACCCTTTACTCAGTACTTTGTTGAAGCACCTTTGACAGCGATTACAGCCTCGAGTCTTCTTGGGTATGACACTTCATGCTTGGCACACCTGTATTTGGGGAGTTTCTCCCATTCTTCTCTGCATATCCTCTCAAGCTCTGTCAGGTTGGATGGGGAGCATCGCTGCACAGCTATTTTCAGGTCTCTCCAGAGATGTTAGATTGGGTTCAAGTCCGGGCTCTGGCTGGGCCACTCAAGGACATTCAGAGAATTGTCCCGAAGCAACTCCTGCGTTGTCTTGGCTGTGTGCTTAGGGTCGTTGTCCTGTTGGAAGGTGAACCTTCGCCCCAGTCTGGGGTCCTGAGCACTCTGGAGCAGGTTTTCATCTGTCAGAGTGACCATCGGGTTCCCCTGATTGCTCAGTTTGGCGGTGCGGCCAGCTCCAGGAAGAGTCTTGGTGGTTCCAAACTTCTTCCATTTAAGAATGATGGAGGCCACTGTGTTCTTGGGGACTTAATGTGCCTCGACACAATCCTGTCTCGGAGCTCTACGGACAATTCCTTCGACCTCATGGCAATTCCCCGGCCAATTGTCCAGGAGAATAAAAAATCCCATTGCGAAATAATGCTTTGTAGCCTATTTATTTATGGAAATACCAGTGGATGGCAATACATTTGACTGGTCATGCTTATCAGTCTGTAGGTTAGTTTGCATAATTTAGTGGAATTAAATTGGCGTGTACCATGTACAGTATATTCGTTATGTATCTTATTTATCACACACGTACAGCATACAGATCCAGAGCCTTTGAGCGGAAAATCTGTCAGACAGCATGAGAGCTGCTGCTATAGCATCTCAAATAGCAAACGTAGGCAAAGGAAAGCAGGCTTCATCAGCGCGTCACACACCACTTTGCCATGAGCTGGAGGCAGTATTGTAAGGGTTGGTGTGAGGTGTGACCCAGGTGCGGTGCAGGATAGACAGTAGGCAGTAGGCAGAGATGGTGAAACAAGGATCTTTACTGGTGGTCCCAAAACCAGGATACAAAATAACAGACTTGTCACAATAAAATAAAGGAGGAGCAAATTGGTCTCCAAAAACAGGCTGACAGCAAACATACGAAATACTAACTATGACTGAAAACAACAATGAAACAGGGAGAACACTTCTCAAGTACCTGTACATACGTCATCAAAAAGAAAGGAGGACCAAGGCCTGTACATACGTGTCGCGATCAGACACTGATTAGTAATGTTTGGCATCGAGAAACTAGCAGAGGAAACAGAGCAAGGGAACACAGGGAAGTGAGGGCATAAATACACAGGTGAACAGGTAGACACAGATGACACCAATAGGATAATGATTAGTCCAGACTGTGAGTGAGGAGGTGCCTACGGTTGTCGGAGGATGACACCAAGTGGGTCGCTCCGGAACTGCGACCCCCTCCTGTAACAGTGCCCCCCCCACCCCGACGAACGGCCCCAGCCTCCAGGTGGAGGCGACGGAATGTTGTTATCAGCCCTGGGTCCAGAATACCCCTCCTGGGCACCCAGGACCGCTCCTCCGGCCCATAACACTCCCAGTCCACCAGAAATTGGAGACCCCTCCCCACCCGCCGGCAGTCCAGGATCCAGTCCACAGTAAAAGCCGGCCGCCCTCCGACGAGGCACAGTTGGGGAACAGGACGAGGAGGAGGAGCCAGGGGACAGGAGGCGACTGGCTTGAGGAGGGACACATGGAACGTGGGATGCACTCGCATGGTGGGGGGAAGTTGCAGGCGGTAGGCCACTGGGTTGACTCGCCGGACTACTCTGAATGGGCCGACAAACCGTGGGAACAGCTTCCTGGACTACACGCGGAGGGGAAGATCCCGCATGGAGAGCCACACCCTCTGTCCCGGGTGAAAAACCGGGGCCGGGCGACGCCTGCGGTTGGACTGATGTTGAGACCTGACCGAGGCCCGCTTAAGCGCCGACCGTACCTGCCTCCAGGTGCGGCGACAGCGACTGATGTTGGCCTGGACCGACGGGACCGCCGCCTCCTCCTCTTGCTCGGGGAATAGGGGGGGTTGGTACCCGTATTGGCACTGGAAGGGGGACAGGCCGGTGGACGAGCAGAGAAGGGTGTTGTGGGCGTACTCTGCCCACGCCTGTCGCACCCCAGCACCCCCTCCAAATCCTGGTTGACGCGCTCCGTCTGCCCGTTCAACTGGGGATGGAAGCCGGAAGACAAGCTGACGGAGGCGCCGAGGCTGGTGGCGAATGCCTTCCAGAACCTGGAGGCGAACTGAGGACCCCGATCCGACACCACATCTTGGGGAAGGCAGTGGATCCGGAAAACGTGCTGCACCACCAACTTAACCGTTTCCCGGGCCGACGGGAGTTTGAGAAGGGGAATGAAGTGGGCATCCTTCGAAAACCAGTCCACAACGACCAGGATGACTGTGTATCCATCATAGGGTGTAGGGCGGAAATTAAATCCAGCGAGATGTGAGACCAGGGGCGCTTGGGGATAGGCAGGGGTCGGAGCAGCGTGAGCTCTTCTTGTGCGCGCACACCGGGCAAACAGCCACGTGTATCCCCCTCAGCTGATGGCCACCAGAACCTCCTACGCAGAATGTTTGGCATCGAGAAACTAGCAGAGAAAGCAGAGCAAGGGAACACTGGGAAGTGAGGGCATAAATACACAGGTGAACAGGTAGACACAGGTGACACCAATATGATAATGATTAGTCTAGACTGTGAGTGAGGAGGTGCCTAAGGTTGTCAGAGGATGACACCTAGTGGGTCGCTCCGGAACTGCGACCCCCTCCTGTAACACAGTATGAATTTTTAAAACGTATACTTAATTGTTTCAAACCTGAACGTTTTAATACATATTATGAGGCATGTCTTACCTTGCTTCAAAGTAGTCTAGCCAAAATCACACCATATCAGTGGAGGCAATTATTTTATATCAACTTTCTTTCATTGTCCAGTGGCCAAAGGCACAATCCTAGTCATATTAGCAACCCTTGCTAGTTGTTGCATATTAGATCTCACCCTCTTTCTAAATTTCTAAATGGTATCTGTCACAGGAAACTGCTCGCATGTGCGGTGCCCATTTGACAATGTGGTTTTCATAATTGCATTATGGAACGAACATTTGCGCTTAGCCTGCTTACTGCCTTGTGCGCATTTCTGCGCTTATAATGTGAATAAATAATAAGATATATAATTTAAGCTGAAAGTTCTGATCTGTTGCAATATACACATTTTTGTTATTTAGCCTAGGCCGACTGTTTGAATGAATTTGGGATCTATCATCCCACAACTTTCCCAGAGTCTGTTTGGAATAGGCTACTTCTTGCTCGACAATTAAGCTGACCAATAGAATAGGTAAACTTTTCTACTATGGAGATTTTGTGGTTCGTTACTCGTTTTGTTGGCTGAAGAAAAGTAAATGTGGACAGTTATTCTAACATATTCAAAGTGCACATCTGAATTTAGTAAGAAGGAACTCACATTGTTGCATCCTCGACTGGCATGTTGTGTTAATATGAATTACCATAATCTAAATGTAATTTCTGTCATTCTGAGTATTGTGGGTGGACGCCGTAATCAGGTTATGCACCCAATGGATAATGGTCAGGTACAGTGAGGGAAAAAAGTATTTGATCCCCTGCTGATTTTGTACGTTTGCCCAATGACAAAGACATTATCAGTCTGTAATTTTAATGGTAGGTTTATTTGAACAGTGAGAGACAGAATAACAACAAAAATAATCCAGAAAAACGCATGTCAAAAATGTTATAAATTGATTTGCATTTTAATGAGGGAAATAAGTATTTGACCCCTCTGCAAAACATGACTTAGTACTTGGTGGCAAAACCCTTGTTGGCAATCACAGAGGTCAGATGTTTCTTGTAGTTGGCCACCAGGTTTGCACACATCTCAGGAGGGATTTTGTTCCACTCCTCTTTGCAGATCTTCTCCAAGTCATTAAGGTTTTGAGGATGACGTTTGGCAACTCAAACCTTCAGCTCCCTCCACAGATTTTCTATGGGATTAAGGTCTGGAGACTGGCTAGGCCACTCCAGGACCTTAATGTGCTTCTTCTTGAGCCACTCTTTTGTTGCCTTGGCCGTGTGTTTTGGGTCATTGTCATGCTGGAATACCCATCCACGACCCATTTTCAATGCCCTGGCTTAGGGAAGGAGGTTCTCACCCAAGATTTGACGGTACATGGCCCCGTCCATCGTCCCTTTGATGCGGTGAAGTTGTCCTGTCCCCTTAGCAGAAAAACACCCCCAAAGCATAATGTTTCCACCTCCATGATTGACGGTGGGGATGGTGTTCTTGGGGTCATAGGCAGCCTTCCTCCTCCTCCAAACACGGCAAGTTGAGTTGATGCCAAAGAGCTCCATTTTGGTCTCATCTGATCACAACACTTTCACCCAGTTCTCCTCTGAATCATTCAGATGTTCATTGGCAAACTTCAGATGGCCCTGTATATGTGCTTTCTTGAGCTAACTAACACAGTGTCGCTAACTAGC